CATTTTAATAATTATAATTTCAGACTTTTATAGTATCTTTTTGTTTTGTTTTGTTTTTAGAAACAAGGGTTTCCCTGTGTAGCCTTGGCTGTCCTGGACTTGCTTTGTAAACCAGGCTGGCCTTGAACTCACAGCAATCCATCTGCCTCTGCCTCGCCTCCCAAGTGCTGGTATTAAAGACGTGTACCACCACGCCTGGCTTCTTTTATAGCATCTTAACAACTAGTTGATATCTATAGTAGGAGGAAACATTTCTTTCCTATGTTAATCTTTGGTAAACTAAAACCAAGCTACTTAAAGAAGTTTTTTAAAAGATGTATTGCGAGACTTTTTATTTGGGAATGGTATGGTGGTTTTAACAACATGTCTGCTGTAAGTCTTGGACATTTAAACACTCGGTCCATAGTTGGTGGCTCTTTAGGGAAAGATAGTAGTCATGGCCTTGTTGGAAAAAGTATGTCACTAGCAATTTGGCTCGTTGTTATAAAGAATGAAAATCCCAAATTGTTCGATTTTACCACTGAAGACTCAGGAGCACATGCTGGGTTGAAAACCTGCTAGCTCAACTGGGCAGAGAAAGTACCCAGCTGATCTTCCTTCTCAGCTCGTGTCACAAAGGAAAAAGCCAAAAGCTCAAGGCCAAAAGCTTGCTAGCTTACCTAACAGCCCAGGAGGAGAAAGCCAAAAGCCAAAAAGCCAAAAAACTCTTTCTTCCTCTTCACACTGTCTTAAATACTCTTTTCTCAAAGTCCCTCCTTTAATCCCTATCAGCTGGTTTCTTGCTCAACCTCTAGACCTAGGGTTAACTTTATTAAATCCTATGTACAGAGAGCTCTTAGACTAAAGATGTGTGTTATGGCTGAGCCATATCATAATTACCTGTTTACAAAAAAGAAAAAAAATATATTGGATTAAAGGCGTGTGTTAGGATTGAACTACACCACACAAGACACAGGTTTTTACAGTTCCCAATCTCATGGGTCACAATGGGATCAAATACACTTCAAAACTAGATCTGAAGTTTCAAAGGACTCACCACCTCAAGACAGCTCTCTTGGCTTCCTGTCTGTGGTTCCAGATGTGAGTTCTCACTACTGCTCCAGTAGCCTGCTGCCTGTCACCTCTACCCCAACATGGACCTTAACCCTCAGAACCACAAGCCCCAAATAAATTCTTTCTTTTACAAGCTGCATCATAGTGTTTTATTACAGCAATAGAAAAGCAAATAATAATTTTTTTTTAGATTTCCAGATTTTAAAAATGTGATTTAAAATCTAATCACATCATTTTCCCCTTCCCTTTTCTTCCTTCCCTCCCCCCATCTCTTCTCATGCTGTTCTCACTTGCTCTCAAATTGGTGGCTTCTTTTCCTTTCAGTATGATTGTTATGTATAAATGCATAAATATATAAATAAATGTTGTTGAGTGCATTTAGTGTTGTTTGTGTGTACACAGTTTCAAGGCCGACTAGTTTGTACTGGATAACCAGTTAGGAGCCTCATTCTTGGAAAAGACAAATTCTTCCTCTTTTAGCAGTCATTAATTGCCTGTAGATCTTTGTCTCAGGATAGAATCCCATGAGATTTCTGCCTTCCATGTTAGCATGTCTATTAGTGTTTTCATTGTTTGAGTCTTGTTTAGGCAGCCATATTGTGGAAGTAGCCATATCATTTCTAGGAGACACAATCTCACAGAAGACTTGTGGTCCATTGGGTCTTAAATCTGTGTATGTACATGTATATGTATATAGACACACATGTATGTATGTATGTATGTATGTATGTATGTATGTATGTATGTATCCCTGTTGGGGCTAGGTTCTCCACTATCAGTTGTTCTCTGCATTTTGACCATTGCAATTTTCTGTAATGTCTCCATCTGTTGCAATGGAAGCTTCTTTGGTGAGTGAGGAGAGGTACACTCTCTGTGGGTATGAGGGTAAGTGTTTAGAATGTAGTTAGGAATTATGCTGGACTATTAAGTGGTGGGAGTAGGTTCTTCTCGAAGATCCATGACCTCAGTAGTTGGCTAGGCTTCTAGTACCAAGCACAATTTCCTTTTTGTTAATTGGGCCTTAAGTAATTCCAAGTGGATTAAGGACCTCAATTTGAAACCTGAAATACGAAAACTGTTAGGAGAAAACATAGGTAGTATCCTATATGAAACAGGTGCAAGAAAGGACATTCTAAACAGGATTCCATTTGCCCTGAAATTAAGGCCAGCAACTGATAAGACCTCATAAAACAAAACGGTTTCTGGAAAACCAAGGAAATGATCCATTAGGTGAAGTAGAAGCCCAGAGGGTGGGAAAGAATCTTTGCCAGCTATACATCTGACAGAGAATTAATATCCGGAATACATGAAGAACAAAGAGCCAAGAAACAAATGACCCAATTAAAATGGGCTCTTGTTCTGAACAAAGAGTTCTCAATAGAAGAAATAAATGACTAAGAAATATCTCCAAAAGTGTTCATCATAATTGGGGGAAATGTAAATTAAAACAACTTTCAGATTTAATTTTATACCAGTCAAAATAGATCAGTTCAACAAAATAACTGACAGTAAATCCTGGCAAGGATGTGGGAAGAGGGGAGCCCTCATTTACTGTTTGGTGGAAATGTAAACTGGTGCAGCCAGTGTGGAAATCAGTATGGAGGAGAATCCTCAAAATAGCAAAAACAAATCTATATGACCCAGCTGGACCAGCCCTTGGCCTGTGTGCAAAGGATTCGACTTCTATTCCAGATACACTTGCTCAGCAAAATTCATCGCCACTTGATTCATAATAGCCAGGAAATGGAAATAATCTAAATATTATTCATCAGATGAATAATGAGAATGTGCTACATATGAATATTGGAATACTATTCAGCTGTAGGGAAAAATGAAATAATGAAGATTTCAGGTAACTAGATATAACTAGAAAGTATTAGATTGAGTGAGTATTAGATTGAGATCCAGAAATACAAATGCTGCATGTTCTCTTGTCTGTAGTTCCTAGTTCCCAATGTTCAGGTGTGAATATGTATCTGAGAGTAACCAGGAAAATGTAAAAAGACCATGTGGGAGTGGGAGGTTATATAGGGGAATACAGGTTATATGAAGGCATAATGAGAAAAAGGGGGGTATAGTTAGTGAGGGGTAGAGAAGTCAATATAAGAGAGTGAGGGACAAATAACATAAGGATCTTTGAGAAAGCAAAAAAAGACATTGAATTATTTTATATTACCCCAAAATGATATACATTTCACACACAAACAATGTTAGATAAAGTTATACCCCTTGGGCCAACGCTGCTTTCTACAAGAGCCCTCGGCTATCTAACAAAACTCCAGTACCAGGCATGAGAAAACTCCTTGGGAGTTGTTGGTCAAAGCAGGCCACGTGATTCCGAAAACTATAGGTTATTGCCGTTGCCCTTTGCTGCCTCTCAGAGATCAAAGTTAAGACCCTATTGCTGAAGACAGCATGCACTTCAAACACAGGTCTTGGAAGATTCCATCTGGATCCAGCCTGTGGCATAGGTTTCATAATACCAGAAAGTGTTAACACAAGCCGGTTAATGAGGAAAGTAATCGATAGCCCAGCTGTGACTCCTATGAACCACAACGACCAGCATGGCATATCACTAAAGGTGAAATAGTGGCACTCACATATTGGTGACAACCCGTAGTCTTTTTATAAAGTAAAACAGCCTTTAACGTACCTGTGTGGAACAGGGAGTAGTAACCACCGAGTCTTTGAGGGCCAGCCACATGGATACATTTTTTAAATATAATTTTATTTTTTTAATTTATTACAATTTATTCACGTTGTAGTCCCAACTTGGATACATTTGAAAATGTGTTTGCTTTTATGTTTTAACATTCTGTAGTTTAAAACTTTCTTTCTTGAGAGGTGGAGGCATAAAAGCATATGCCTTTAATCCCAGCATTTGGGAGGCAGAGACGTGTGGTCTACAGAATGAGTTCCAGGACCGCCAAGAATACACTAAGAAACCCTGTCTCTGATTCTCCAACCAAGGACCATGCACGGAGATAACCTAGAACCCCTGCTCAGACGTAGCCCATGGCAGCTCAGTATCCAAGTGGATGCCCTAGTAAGGGGAACAGGGACTGTCTCTGACATGAACTGAGTTGCTGGCTCTTTGATTAGCGCCCCCCCCCCACTCCGGACCCCGAGGGAGTGGGGATTAGGAGGGAATGAGGAAGGGGGCTACAGATGGGATACAAGTAATTAATATAAAAATTAATTAATATTAATTAATTAACTGTAATTAATATAAAAATAAAATTTGGAAAAAAATAAAAAATAGACTCTATCAGTAGAACTTACACAAATTATTTAAAAATATTATAGAATATTTTATTATTTAATTAGAATAAATACATAAAATATAAGTTTTAATATGATTATGTTAAAATTAAAAACATGTTCTCTGAGAGTGTATTATATTGATAATATTTATTATTTTATTTTTATTTAAAGTCTTATCCAATCTAAATAAAATCTAAAGTTTATTTTGGAAAAAAAAAGAAACCCTGTCTCAAAAGACAAAAGAAAACCCAATCCGAACCAAAACAACAACAACAGAATCTCTCAAAAAAAAAAAAACCCTCTCTTTCTCTAATGTTTACTACTTTCCATCAAAATTCAATGTGGCCCAAACTTGGACCCCTCAGTAAATCCTACCTGCCCTCTTGACAAAACCGCCTACGGTCAAAAATGCGAAAAGGACCACAACTCCCAGAATGCAGTGCTTCCTACACGTCCAGTTGCTCCGAGGTCGTGGAGCCTCCTTCTGCTCCATTGGCCGGTCTTCCTATTAAGGCGGAGAAAGCGAGCGCAGCCCTCCAATCCGGCCTAAGAAGAAGGTCGCTAGTGTAGGTATCAGCCAATCATAACGCGCCTCTGCTTTCCGCTTCCTCCACCGTAAACTTCCTTGGCGGGAAAACTTGGGAGGTTTTCGCGCCAGCGCGGAGTCCCCTGGGGCGGTGAGTTTGGGGCAGCGGCATGGCGGGGACCGTAGTGCTGGACGACGCGGAGCTGCGGGAGGCGCAGAGAGACTACTTGGACTTCCTGGATGATGGGGTGAGGCTGCGGGGGCGGGCTGGATGCTGGGGTTCCCGCGGGTGACCCGGCCGTTGCTAGGGCCCCCGCGGAGGGCAAGAGCCGCCGGTTGTTCTTTTGGGCTGCAGCTTCCTGTGCTCTTTGTCAGACTTACCTCAAGATCATATATATGTAATATATATTCGTGTCTTACACGTACAGTGTACTTATCATTTCTTTCTCATCTCATCACTCCTTTTTTTTCCTGCTGCTGATTCCCTTACTTTTTCACGTCTTTTGCGGTGGTGTAGATGGTCCCCAGGGCCTTGTGCTTGCTGTTTTCTCTTCAAAGCCATCTAGTTTGTTTCTAAATTCACGTGGAGACCCCACCTGTTTAAGTCAGATGTAAACAAATGGTCATTCTTATCCTAACTAACTTGGAAGGAAGCACCTAGGGCTGTTGTAGTTGGCTCAGGGGCTGTGCTGGGATTGGGGGGACACTTCTAACTCTGGCAGCTTTCTTTATGCTGGATCAAAAGTATTTTGTATTCAGGTAGAGTGGGGTTTCTATGCAACCCAATATTTAAAGCTGTAGGAGGTTGATGAGCACCGAAAGTTTGTTGATCAGTGAAAAGCAATTTTAAATTTTTTTTGTGTATATTTGAAATATACATCATGATTTTGAAATTAAGTCTGCTATGGTCAGGCATGTTAACATCTTGATTTTAAAATTAAATTTTTATATTAGCAAGGCTTTTTACTTAGTGTGCTTAGGTCATCTTAATTCCCAATTAAAATGTAAGCATACAGGAGAACTGTTGGTGATCAGGATAGCATGTGATAGGGGATGCTAGGTCAGAAGAAAGGGTTGCCTGTAGCCATCTACTTCCTGGGCACCATTTGAGACATGTGAGTATCGATATGATATGTTAGCATCGTATCGTGTAAGTGACATAATTGGTATTCAGTGTCATCTTTGCTGATGACAACCTTGTAGCTCCCAGTCCTCACTTTGGACTTTTGAATATCTTTATTTTGACATAAATAGAATCCCCCCATGGTCAGGAAACCCTTTACAAATAGAGTAGTCAGTGGTCACTAAAGCTTTACTGATGTAGACAGCAGGTATGTTTTCCTTGTCCAGAAAGGCCTAGCCTGTTTTATAATCTAGGAAAAACCGTCCTAACAGATGGAGAAGCATGTTCGCACCAGAGGACAAGATAAAGAATTCAGAAAAGATTGTCATGTGGTTAGTTCTTTGATGCAGCCTCAGACCCGATTGCTGAGCCTACATGCATTGTGACTTCCTCCTCTTTCCAGCTACCTTCTAACACTTATCTGAATCCCGAGCTAGCTGTCCTTTATATTCAGGGCAGTCTTTCACCAGAGGCCACCCTTTCTACCAGTATTTATAGGATCTCATGAGAACCTGTCTGCTTGCTTGTTCTTCTGGCTGTTGCTCTTGAAACAGTCACACTCTGTAGCCTAGCTTTAGACTCTGTAGTGATCCTCCCTGAGTTCGGAACAAACCTTTTTTTCTCTTTGTATCTCCTGCTAGGCAGCTTTGGAGATCCAAGCTTGCTACCAATAAAACCAAGAACCTACAGAAAGGAACCCTGGGTGACACTGACTTTATGCTTCTAGGTTGTAGGTGAAATCTGAGACTAGTGAATGAAGGGGAGAACTTGAAGAACACAGACTTTGAATTGAGCTGAGCTTCAGAGCTTGTTTCAAGAATTGCTTCTGTCCTGAAACACTTTTGAGTCATGAGCTGATCTGATAATGTCTTCATTTTGTGCATCAGATTGCTTAATTTGATTTGTCTTGTTTCTGCTTTGCAGGAAGACCAAGGGATTTACCAGAACAAAGTTCTGGAGCTGATCAGTGACAACCAGTATCGGCTGATTGTCAATGTGAATGACCTGCGCAGGAAAAATGAAAAGAGGGCAAACCGGTGAGTGATAACAGGGTTTTCAGGGGGGATCCGCTGGTTTTGAGTGAGAAAGGCATCCTCTTGTTTAGGTTAGAACAGGCTTCCCTGAGAAAGACCTGTATTGCATGGGCTTGCTCTAGAGGCTGTCATTGTCTCACAGAGAGGCGGTGGCGCACATTTTGCTCCCTGGTGTTTCTGTCTTACAGTGTTTTGCTGAGTATCTTTTTTTTTTTTTTTTTTACATTTTTGGTGATTTGAAGTTAACCTCATTTCTGTATTTTACTGAGCCTTATCCACTGGCAGGACAAAGTAGGAATGGGGTTTTCTTTCATCGATCATAATGACCAAAGAGTGTTTCTTCTTGTCTTAAGTTCTGCCTAATTAATTGTTCTTTGTCTTGACCACATGCAGCCTCCTGAACAATGCTTTTGAGGAGCTGGTTGCCTTCCAACGGGCCTTGAAGGACTTTGTGGCCTCCATTGATGCTACCTATGCCAAGCAGTATGATGAGTTCTACATCGGATTGGAAGGCAGCTTTGGCTCAAAGCACGTCTCTCCCCGGACTCTCACGTCCTGCTTCCTCAGCTGTGTGGTCTGTGTGGAAGGCATTGTTACTAAATGTGAGTGGATTGGAAATGGTGCCAGGGCCCTAATAAAATGAGAGGATAGATGTAGGAGGTCCAGAAACCGCGAGGGTTGTCGTGGGTCAGGGGAACGTGTAGCTTCAGAGAAGTGGAGCATTGAAATTAAACAGTGAAATGTGGAGCACAACTCTGGGTCCGCAGCTACAGGGGGAAGGGAAGTGATGACCAGTGTAGCGGAATGGTGAATCCCCAAACTGGAGGAGCCCTGCTCCTCAGATCTTAGTGAAACCCTGAACTGTCCCGTAGGTGATACCACTGATACTTACAGTTTTACACGGATAGAGTGATAGCCTATGTGCTAATGTAAAGAAGAATAAATGACAAATGTTACTAAAAGGAAGTAAAGTGTTAATGTTACTGGAAGGACACAGCATTTAAAGGCCTTGAAAGAGTTTAGATCCCTCCTATGTCAGTGTGTTGCTGGGTGACACACGCCTTTGCATTCCTAGGCTCTCTGGTCCGTCCCAAAGTCGTTCGCAGTGTTCACTACTGTCCTGCTACTAAGAAGACCATAGAGCGACGCTACTCTGATCTCACGACCCTGGTGGCTTTCCCATCCAGTTCCGTTTACCCCACAAAGGTGAGCACGTGAATTCGTTGGGCTTCCTCAAGGGCTCAGAGATGGCTGTTTTAATTCAAGAGTGGCATAGTGTCTGGAGTCTCTGCTCTAAAAAGTAGATCATGTGAGGTAAGGCTTAATTCAGAAGACAGATTGGATGCAAGATAGTTTAATGTAGAAATCCCACATTTTAAGACTATCGTTAGGGAGTTGGTGTCGTGGGGAAGAGGACTTGTTCTTTAAATGTGAGAACCTGAGTTTGAGTCCCCAGCACTCAAGCAAAGGGCTGGGCGTACGTACCTGTGCGTGTCTTCTAATCCCACCTGTCTCTGGAGAGGAGAGATAGGTAGGTCCCAAAAGCTTACTGGCCAGCCAGCCCAGGTAAAATGAGGATTCCTGCTGCCATGCTCTAATGTCCACGTGCAAGAGTGTGTGCACCACACACACAAACACACACACACAGTAACGTTTAGAAAAGTTGGAATATACAAGGCCCAACAGAAGAAAAAGCATGGATGGCAGGTGTTTTAACAGTTGTAATCATAGTAACACAATGTACTTTCTAAAAGTAAAATGGAATACTTTTGTTACATTATGCTCTTGTATAATCTTTGCCGACATCCCAGTGGATTTGGGAAAAGACCGTGAAAGGCTTTCTTTTTGCTGTTCAGAGTGAGAAAAGTTGATAACTTTCTTGTAAGATGAGACAGGAGATTGTTAATACTGATTTTTTTTTTTTTATGTCTATACTCATTTAGTTAAAGGATATCCCTTTCTCATAAAATTGTCCTTGTCTGTGAAGTAGAAAATACTTGTTTTTGTAAGGTTACAATAATTCCATGTAATAGTAGTAGTTCCTGGCACATAGTGAGCACTCAATAGACACAGTGGCTTTGGTGGTTTTAGGGAATTCACTTATGGTGGAAACACATCTTAATGTTTTTTATGTAAACTTAGTATATATAATATAAAATGTGTAAATATTAATGTTTATATGTGGAATAATAGAAACATGTGTTTCATATAATATATATATATATATTATATTATATGATAGCACTTAAGTGTGTAGTTCGAGTTTTTACAAGCAGAATATACTCATACAACCAGCATCTAAAGTGGGAAACAAAGTTACCAGTGCTTAAAATCCCTGGTAAAGCCAGTAGTGGTGAGGAGTGGTGCACACCTTCAATCCCAGCACTCTGGAGTTAGAGATAGATGGATGGATCCCTGAGTTCGAGGTCAGCTTGGTCTACAAAGCCAGTTCCTGAACAGCCATGGCTACACTTTTTTCTTTTCTGTCTTGAAAAAAAAGTCCCTATCGAAGGGACTGTCCTCTCTCTCTTCCCTCTCTCTCTCTCTCTCTCTCTCTCTCTCTCTCTCTCTCTCTCTGTCTCTCTGTCTTAGAGTCTCTATATAGCTTTAGCTGTCCTGGAACTTATTGTGTAGATCAGGTTGGCCTTGAACTCATATCACAGAGAGCCACCTGCCTCTGCCTTCTGGGTGCTGGGATTAAAGGCATGTGTACCCAAGCCTAACAATCCTGTTGTCTTTCCAGTAAAGATTGTTTTAGCCTATTTTCCTATATACATGCTCTTGAGTTGAGCAGCATTTATGTAGCATTGTATATGCTTTCAAGTATGTCCTACACACAGTGTTCATTTGTGTGACTGTGCCCCATGTACCTATTCTGTTATAATAGATTTGGATTATTTTTAAAATTTTGCCTGCTAGGAATGGTGCTGCTGTGAGTAGTTGGTAGCTTTGCATGCATGTTTCTGTTGGGTATTTTGTGGGAGGGGGAAAGCAGCATTGGAGCCAGTCACTGTGGAAGAGGCTGGATCCCTGAGTTCAAGGCCAGCTTGGGCTAAAGAGTTCCAGAATAGTCAGGGCTATAAAGGGAAATCTCATCTCCAAAAAAAAAAAAAAAAAAAAAAAAAAAAAAAAAAAAAAAAAACAAAAAAAAAAAAAAAAAAAAAAAAAAAAAAAAAAAAAAAAAAAAAAAACCACAACCAACAAACAAAACAAAAACAAAGGAAAGAAAAAAAGCAACGAACAAAACAACCACATTAAATTGTAATCACAATTTGTTGTAACCAAATTCAGCATCAGTTCAGGGAGTCAGGATTTTAACGTTGGTGTTAGTACACCACAATCCATCAAGGAAAACTGACCTTTCGTTTTCTGGTTTGTTATGAATTCAGAGCCCAGGCTAGGAGGACAGAAGAGATGCATACCCTTTATCATGATTCTAGATAGTAAAGTTTCAAGAAAGATGTTTTAACTTTGTGTGTGTGTTTTAAGGATGAAGAGAACAACCCCTTGGAGACAGAGTATGGCCTGTCTGTCTACAAGGACCACCAGACCATTACCATCCAGGAGATGCCAGAGAAGGCCCCTGCTGGTCAGCTTCCTCGCTCTGTGGACGTCATTCTGGATGACGACCTGGTGGATAAAGTGAAGCCTGGCGACAGAATTCAGGTGGTGGGGACCTACCGCTGCCTTCCGGGGAAGAAGGGCGGCTACACCTCAGGGACCTTCAGGTAAGGGCCTGCTGTGAAATGTTGGGGGCTCCATTGGCAGCTTCTGTCCTAGTAATGCTTTGGCTCCAGGTTGCCATATGCTACAGGGGACTGACTGATGGAGCGTGCATACTGCCGGCCAGTGAGGTGAGGCGACTCGTACCTCTTCTTCCCATACAGCATTGGGAATGTGGACCATCGCAGGCCCAAAATAGATACAGCCTCATGACTAGCCTCGCCCGAGATTCCCAACTCCTTTACGTATACACTTGTTTGTTGGGCATTCCGTCCTCACTGTGGCTTGTGGATGTCGGGCTGAGCCGAGTTCTTGCCTCCCATTTTCTTGCTTAGTTTACTAGACCAAGAACACTTAGCGCTGCAGGAGGCTCAGCCAGGCTTCCCTTCCACTGTGTTGCAGGACTGTCCTGATCGCCTGTAACGTGAAACAGATGAGCAAGGACATTCAGCCTGCATTCTCTGCTGACGACATAGCCAAGATCAAGAAGTTCAGCAAAACGCGCTCCAAGGTCAGTTGATGGGTTTGGTTTGAAAGTGTTGTGTCCTGTCTGTGTGTGGCTGTCTCTCTGCTAGATCTGGGAGAAGCTATTTTTTTGTTTTGTTTTTTCCCTCTGAAGTATTTGTTGCTAGCTTCCAATTTTGTTTCAACTGGCAGTTTAAGGGTGTTTTTGCCATTTAATTGGTAATACTTGTTCTGTCTTCTGGGCTTCCCAGTCCAATCTAAAGCAAATGAGTGTGTACAAATGAGATGGTACAGATTATAATATCCGTACCATCCAGCCTTGTTTCTAACTGGCTTAGTTCTCTGTTGAGACAGAGTCTCATATAGCCCAGGCTGTGTCTGAACTCCTGATTCTCCTTCATGTGCTACCCCCTGGGTTTTTATTTTTAAATCGTATTTCCTTAATTTTCTCTTTCTGTGTGTATGTACTCACTCGTGTGTGGTGGTTAAGTAGCCTTGTGGAACCTAGGGATGAACTCAGGTGGTTAGGCTTGGCCACAGAAACCATTACCCATCTTACTGGCTTTATAAAGACAGGCTGTGCACACTTAGAGTCGAGCAAAGTAGTATTCACATGTGCAATAAAAGTTATTGCCAGGCCATGAAATAGATTTTAGACCCAGTTTTTGTTTGTTTGAGCTGGAATATCCTTACTGTGTTGGGGGTTAGATCCAGGGGCCTTACCTTGTTTGTGTTAGCCGAATTCTGTACCACTGAGGTATGTCCTCGGCCTGTTCTTTTAGCTTTGGAGAGAAGCTTATTACAGATTCATAGATGGGAAAGAGGGAGCTGTGCTCTTTGAGTTAGATGTGGCGGGTAGGCAGCCACATGTGGGAGGGAGGACTCTGGAGTGTCAGAAGAAATGGATGCGCAGGCCCTGGCTGCCACCTGAAAGAGAAAGGGGACGAAAAGGACAAGCTATGCAGAGCCAACAGCCTCATGGAGGCCCAGGGGACTTCACTTCCCTGCCGCCATCAGTACTTTTGAGACAGAATCTAACTATGTAGCCCACACTGGTCTGGGTACTCCCTAGTTAGTGCAAGCTGCCCTTAAGTCACAATTCCCTGCCTCAGACTGGTAGGTGCTGAACTGCAGGTATATGCTCCTGAAGATTAATCTGGAAGTTTTGGGTTGTAGGCTGCCCCTTTACCTACCCTGCTAGTTGTCTGATAATGGGATTGTCTTAGAACAAAGCTTTTGCTTTTAGAACCCTAGTTTATATTCGCTGTGGGCTCCAGACACCCCACTAGGTGTCACTAGGTTTTTCACTCTTGATTCTTTTTCCTTTAGGATGTGTTTGAGCAGTTGGCCCGCTCATTGGCCCCTAGCATTCATGGGCATGACTATGTCAAGAAGGCAATCCTCTGCCTGCTCTTGGGAGGGGTGGAAAGGGAACTTGAAAATGGCAGCCATATCCGTGGAGACATCAATATTCTTCTAATAGGTATGGTGCTAGGGGATGTGTTAGACCGATATGTGTTTACCTTGAGGAACGGGTTGTGAGAGCATGCATATAAAATTGTACTGTCTGTATCTGGTCATATCTCAGCCCCATCAAAGTACAGAAGGCTAAAATGTATGCTTGTGAAAACCACTCCTGAAATTCTTGATTTATTTTACTTAGACTGTATTCTGCAAATGAGAAAAGGGGAGAAAGTAACAGTTAATATCGAGTTACTATGTGGATTGTGCAGTGAAGTATGCAGTGGAAGCTGAGCTGGCTGGGGTACGTGGGGAGGTTCCTAGAGAATCATCACTGCCTTGTCCTGTAGGTGACCCGTCTGTGGCCAAGTCCCAGCTTTTGCGGTATGTGCTTTGCACTGCGCCCAGGGCCATTCCCACCACCGGCCGGGGCTCATCTGGAGTGGGTCTCACAGCTGCTGTCACTACAGACCAGGAAACAGGTAAGGGCCTGAGGCCCCTTGGCAGAGGTCCAGCGTGTGTTTGAGCAGATTCTGTAAACTTACTGTAGGCGCTGGCTTGTGTTTGGCACATTTGAAAGATGAGTGGGGTGTGTTGTAAGGCCGAAAGCTTTGGAGAGGCAGGTAAATTGTTGAAGGCTTTAGGTCTCTTGCTAGAAATAGGTTCTAGAAGACGATTAGAATGGTGGCAAAAGGGAAAAGAGCAACTTATGAGAAAGGGAAAAATGAAATTAGGGGAAAGATTTGAAGAACAGGAAAGAAGCTCTAGTTGGATGTCACCTGAGTGTAATGAGGAGAGCGAGTCTGTAGAAGTGAGAGGCTCTTGTTGAGGGCTTAGCAAGACTGCAGGGTGGACCTGAGAAATAACATGGTTTCCTAGCAAGTCTTGTGGCGAAATCTCCTTACTGAGTTCTCATGCACTGTGAAGACAAGTGCCAGGCAGAGAGACCGAGCTCCTTCTCTAACCTCTCACCTAGGCCATGGCACGTGCATTTACCTTTTCTCTTCCTAGGGGAGCGCCGCCTGGAAGCTGGTGCCATGGTCCTGGCTGACCGAGGAGTGGTTTGCATTGATGAGTTTGACAAGATGTCTGACATGGATCGTACAGCCATCCACGAAGTGATGGAGCAGGGTCGAGTGACTATTGCAAAGGCTGGCATCCATGCTCGGCTGAACGCCCGCTGCAGTGTTTTGGCAGCTGCCAATCCAGTCTATGGCAGGGTAAGTGGAATCAGGTCCACAACCACCATTCTTGGATTGATTTGGCTTTGCCTAATAGCTGGACTGAGGGGTTTACTGTAGGGGACTAAGAGATCCAAAACTTAACCCATCTTTTACTTTGTTTGGATTAGAGCAGTACGCGTGCATGTGTGCATACATGTCCGTGCGAGTGCTTGCTTATAGGCAGGTGTGTTTTTTCTGTGTCAGTGTTGGGTGTCCTCCTCATCATTCTCCACCTTAGTTTTTGAGATAGCGTCCTGGATTTTGCTAGCCAAACAGTTGATGTTAGGAAACCATGAAGTCAACCGGGTGGTGGTGGCAGCGGCACATGCCTTTAATCCCAACGAGTTTGAGGCCAGCCTGCTCTACAGAGAGTTCCAGGACAGCCAGGACTGTACAGAGAAACCCTGTCTCAAAAAGACAAACAAAAAAAGGAAACCATTGTATGTTTTCTGTAATTAGGCCATTATGCTTCTCTGGTCTTAGGAGACTTTGTATGAGCAGTAGAAGCACTGTATCTCAGTGATCCCAACTGTGAGCCTTGGTCTTCAGGTGTGTATGTGGGTCATGCAGCATGCATAATGAAAACGCACGTGTGTGTTCAGAACAAGGCTTTATTAACGTTGCATGATGCAGCAGAAGCCAGCAATGTCAGAGACTTAGATTCATTGGTGGTTGGTTTTGAATTATTTTATGATCATTGTGCATCCAGAAACCTATTCCTGATGACAGTTTTTTGTGACTTCCCTGATAGAGTGTTTGCAGTCCTTAGTTAAAGAAAGCTATGCTGTTTGTGTTCATTTATTTGTGGGTGTTTTGTGTAGTGTAGTGTTTTGGTTTGGTTTGGGTTTTTTTGTTTGTTTTTTGAGACAGAGTTTCACTATATAGGTCTGTTCTAGAACTCAGAGATCTGCCTACTTTTGCCTTCTGAGTGCTGAGAATAAAGGCATCCCAGTGCGTTTGTTTATTTTTAAATAGTCTATCTGACTGTTATCCAGTGATCCTAGGGCTGGAACCCAGGATCTCACACACATCAGACGAGCACTCTGCCACTGAGCTATGTCCCGGTCTGCCTGTCGTATTCTGCGTGGTTCACTTCAGCATTGATTTGGCTTTGATGCTCTTCCTGCTGCTGTTGTCTGTACTCGGTTGTCCTCTTGTGTTCTCCAGTACGATCAGTATAAGACTCCTATGGAGAACATTGGGCTGCAGGACTCCCTGCTGTCACGATTTGACCTGCTCTTCATCATGCTGGATCAGATGGATCCTGAACAGGATCGGGAGATCTCTGACCACGTCCTTAGGATGCATCAGTACAGAGCCCCCGGGGAGCAGGACGGTGACGGTGAGTGCATGGAGTGGCAGGAACGGCTAGTGAGGGGGCTCTAAAAGATGCCCCAGGGCCGGGCCGAGGCCATTCTGTGTCTGTTAATGCTGCAGTTGGCCTCACCTCCTCTTCCCTTCACTGCTCACTCACTGGAGATTGTCTGTCCACTTTGGGATCCCCTGTATCTCTTAGCTTCTTCTGGGTAGTTCTAATCTTCATGTTTGTGAGGGCCATGTGTCTCTTTCCTCCTGGGTCCTTGCTTTCTAAGTCTTGTGGTCTCATTCCTTTCTGTGCTACAGAAGAGGCAAGCTCTCTTGGCTTAAACCCCTTAATCTCGTTTGTGTCTTCATGTTTACCAGCTCTGCCACTGGGTAGCTCGGTGGATATCCTGGCCACAGATGACCCCGACTTTACCCCGGACGACCAGCAGGATACCCGGATCTATGAGAAGCACGACAACCTTCTTCATGGGACCAAGAAGAAGAAGTGAGCACCCTCTCACTTCTTCGTAAAGAGACCTGAGGTTTTTCTTCACGTTAGATATTTTCTGGGTCTACAGATGAACCGTTTGTCCTAGCCCATGACCTTGCATATGTCTGTGGTTGAGCCAGCCCTGGCTCAGGTCTTTCCTAAAACAAAGTTTTGACATCTAGGCATGGCTCACACCTGTAATCTCAACACTCAAAAGGCTAAGGTAGGAATTTGAAGCTAGCCTGGACTACAAATAACCTGTCTCTGAAACTTTTTTTGACATTGTGCCCAAGTGATAGTAGGTATGTGATCTGTTCCTCTGATGTGGTCTGTGGATCTTTGTGGAAATTTTTGTGGGCCGTTAGTAGGTAGCAAGCAGTAGAGACTTTTAAAAGTAAACTTGAGTAGAGACTTCATGGGTGCTCAGAGCATGAAGTGTAGATTCTTGTGCCCTCTGGCCATGCTATAGAAAGAAGTATCTTTGTATCATATCTGACTTGACCTATTCCTCTCTGAGCCAGTATTTCCACATAAATAGGCCTGGTACATGGTGTGATGGTACATACATACAATAATGGGGAACATTGCTGGTGGATTTGTGTGAGTTTGAGGCCAGTCTGATCTACACAATGAGTTCCAGGCCAGCCAGTGATAGATAGTAAGACCCTATTTCTAGAAATGGAAGATGGCACAGCAAGTAAGAGCAGTTCCAGAGGACCTAAGTTCAGTTCCTAGAACCCCCATGGCAGCTCATAATAGTTTGTAACTATAGTTTCAGGGGACCCTCCTGTGTCATCCATGGACAAGGGCATGCACATGGTGCACAGACATACATGCAGGCAAAACACCCATATTCATAGCATCAAAGCAAATAAACTACAAAACAGCCAGTCAGTGGTGGTGCACGCCTTTAATCCCAATGCTTGGAGAGAGGGACAGGCTGATCTCTGAGGTAAGGCCAGCCTGGTCCACAGGCAAGGCTACACAGAGAAATCCTGTCTTAAAAAAATACAACAAAACAAAAACAAAAAACTTGAGATTAAATAGAGAATGTTAGAAATGCTGTGTGTGTTCCCTGGGACAGGTGATGATGGGTTCTAGGCTTCATCTCTGTACTGTCATTGGGCCTGCCCTCTCTGAGAGGTAAAACATTGCCCCAGATGGGTTAGGAAAATGCCATTTGTTCTCCTGGATCCAGAGAGAAGATGGTGAGCGCAGCTTTTATGAAGAAGTACATCCATGTGGCCAAAATCATAAAGCCCATCCTGACACCAGAGTCAGCAGCCTACATTGCGGAAGAATACTCACGCCTGCGCAGTCAGGACAGCATGAGCTCAGACACTGCCCGGGTGAGTGCATCAAGGCTTGTGGTTTCAAGGGTTGGCAAGAGGAGGGCAGGAGTTTCTGCTCTCTGGTAACCTGGGGAGTTTTAACTTGACCACCCTTCCTGGTCTGAGAACTATCTGTTATTACACATTTATCTATCCCTTTTCTGAAGGAAATGAAAACCAAGACCTTAGATAGGAATGGTCTCCCCCAGTGAACTATGAGTAATTTCTGGGACCTGACCTTGTCTCTTCTCATATTCGGTGGGAAAAGAACTCAGGGTTCAGACTTGAGAGGAGAAGGCAGAAAGGTAGATAAAAAGACATTTATTATGTGCCTGGTGTGATACATGGAAGAAAGTGGATGTGAAATCCCCAGATGGGTGTGACTGTCAGTGATGTTTGGACAGACTCAGACAAATAACTAGAAGTTGAGTGACCATGATTAAGAGCAGTTTCTAGTGTGACTTTTAAAGCTGCCCTTGAACTTACCTGCATCTCCCAGGGACTGTAGTTCGCAGGACTATAAGCAGAGAGACCCAAGTGTGCCCTGAAACTTCAAGTGAGCACAGTGATTCATTAGGCCAAGGATCCTATCACATAACAGCAGCCAGAAAAGACACAGGCTGGCTTACAGCCTCGCTGTGAACTACTTGGAGGGAGTGCGTTGGGTTCCTCATTCTATGAGTGAGATTGCACTCCTTATAGACAGTTGTCTTCATAGCTCACCTTTACCGGGGGTTAGCTACCTTCGTGTGGCCTTGGACAGATCCAGCTCTTTGGTTCCCACGTCCTCACCTGGACAGTACTTAGTTAAGAGGAATCACTTACAGAGTGAGTGCTCAGCTCCTACAAGGCATTGTGGGCCTTGCAGAAAGGAGTTGATTTCCTGTTGCATGCTGTCAACTCACCTTTTTTGGGGCAGTTGTAGGCTAGCTAGTTTTCTCCTTCCTCACTCAATTTTCCTCTCTCCTTGAATGCTGTCACTTATATTTCCTTGGTTGTTTTTCTTAACCTTTATGAATTTTTAAAAATCCATTTAGTTCTTGACAATTTCACACGTGTAGAATGGCTTCTCATCACTCCTCTCTTCTTCGTGTCCTTGTTACCCGTCCTTCTGCCCTGTTGCTGTCTTGCAGAGCCATGTCTTGGTTTCTGTTTGGTTCAACTAGGATTGCCTGTGTGGTTGTAACTATCTTTTATTTTTCACTTGTTCCCTGCTCCTGAGGGGGCTAGTATAAATTTTGGGGTTGAGCACTCAACTGCCTCCTAATTCTCAGTACCTTGTGCAGCCATGAAACTTTGCCTTCTCTGGTGCTGGCTGAAGAAAAAGACTTCTGAGTGTGGCATTAGTTGGGCACAGGCTGCTATCTGAACTTTAAATAGTGTCCACCTATGGAGAAGACCATGAGCTTTCTGAGCAGTTTTGGTAGCGCCTTTATTTTTTTTCTGTGCAGTGATAGTGAGACATGTTTCCCCAGCAATAATTCCCTCATGGCGTCTTCCCTAGACATCTCCGGTTACAGCACGAACACTGGAGACTCTGATTCGACTAGCCACTGCCCATGCGAAGGCCCGCATGAGCAAGACTGTGGACCTGCAGGATGCAGAGGAAGCTGTGGAACTGGTTCAGTATGCTTATTTCAAGAAGGTGAGTCTTGAGGGAACCTGAGGAAGAGGAGGGGAAGAGTGTAAGAGCCAGAGGGGTTGGAGGAAAGAAACCAGGAGAACAAGCCCTCAAAATCACCTAAGCAAATATATGAACTCTGGAGACTAAAGTAGCAATCACAGGGCCTACATAGGTCTATACCAGGTTCCCTGCATATGCATCAGAGCTTTCTGTTTACTGTCTTTATGGGATTCTGGAGTGTGTATGTGAATGAGTAGGGCTCTGATTCCTGTGCCTTCCCTTGGGGCTCTTTTCCTTCTGTTGGTTTGCCTTGTCCAACTCCAATGTGATTTTTTTTTTGTTTTATCTTAATTACATTTTAGTGCTTTATGTGTTGTTACCTTTTAGAGGCCTGTTCTTTTCTAATGAGAGACAGAAGGAGTAGATCCGGGTGGGAGGAGCTTTGGGGAGGAACTGGACGGAGAAGAGGAGGGGAAACTAATGAGGATATGTTGTATGAGAAAAGAATCTGTTTTTAATAGAAGCCTTGTGCCAGTTGCCTGTTGCTCATCTGAAGATCTGTAGACCTTGAAGGTTTAGACCTGTGGGTCTACCTTGCTTTTCTTTTTATGAGGTTGGGAGTGGTGTTGAATTTCAGCTAAACAAATAAACGAATGGCTCTCCCCCTTACCCATAATGATTTGGACACCTCCCCAAACACTCCCCTGTGTGAAAGTACCTACTGTGTGAGAGACGGCTAATAGGCTGTCCCTACCTCTGGTCCTGGGACTTGGACCAGGAAGGCTAGAGATAAGTCTTAGAAACTTGGAAGTCACTTCTACCTTGATGCAGAAGCAACTCAAGGTTCCTTACTCAGTTTTGGTGCCAGTGATGTCCCCTGGCTTGGTTCTAGGTCCTGGAGAAGGAGAAGAAACGAAAGAAGCCAAGTGAAGATGAATCAGACCTGGAAGATGAAGAAGAGAAGAGCCAAGAAGACCCTGGACAGAGTCGGAAGAGGTACAGTGGGGATGAGAAGTAACATGAGAGACTCTTAGCTGGAAGAGCGCCATTGGTTAGCATCGGGCTCTTCAGGGCCCTGTAGCGTTTGCTGGGGAAGGTAGTTGGGCACAGGAGATAGCGCTGACTAGCAGAAGGGACGCCATCATTAGGTCTTTGGATGTTCTTGGCTATTTGCTCGCTCCTGCCTATGCATTTGTAAGGCTGATAATAGGGACAAAGATCACTGGGCAGCAGGGCCTGGAGAGTGTCTTGTCAAGAAATGTAGTGGTTTGTTCGGGCCTGAGCCTGATGTTTCACTTTGGTTGTTGTACTTCATTCTGGTTGTATGTTTCTCTGTGGCCTGAGCCCCCAAATGGGGCTGTCTAAAGTCATATCTGTCAGTTTCTTGACTGCTGTGGGTATTGCAGGAGGAAGACTCAGGCCAAGGATGGGGAGTCCTATGACCCATATGACTTCAGTGAAGCAGAAAAGGAAATGCCTCAAGGTGAGTGAGCATTTCCTCTTGACCCGTCCAGTTGCTGTTTGTGCTTCCTTTTCTCGTGGGCTCCCATTGACTCCCACACGAGACTCTGTGACCAGGATGTTTGCCTCTGGAGACCTTGGGAAACCCATGGTGCAAACTTGAGAAAATAAGCTTGGTTCTGCCATTTTATTCGTCATGACCCTTTGTTGTTCCTGGTGCAAGGCATGTAGAGTCTCCCACCTAATTCAGTTCCTCTATCCATTGGGGGTCTCTCTGTATTATCCTGCCTTGTCCAGTAAGAACCGTGGGAGACAGGGCTCACAGGCTCAGCAAGACGGGAGGGGGTGGTTTCTTCTGTGTTCATGGAAAGGGCTTCACCTTGCTATCTCCCCAACCCCTGCAACCATTGCTTCCCTGAAGTGCACACTCCGAAGACTGATGACTCTCAAGAGAAGACTGACGATTCTCAAGAGAAGACCGACGGCTCTCAGGAGACCCAGGAATCCCAGAAAGTGGAGCTGAGTGAATCTAGGTGAGTGTCTGCTCCTGCTTGGGAGTTCCTGCTGGCGGGGACCCAGCTTCCAGGTGGAGTGCCACCAGCCTTCTCTCATGAGCTTAGAGCTACAATTCCAAGAGTTACAACACTCCCCACTGCTAATGCCAGGCTCACGCAGACAGTTGCAAGCAAGTATCTGAACGCTTGTGGCATTTTTGCTGTCTGTTTGCCATACTACTTCTTTCTTTGGAAATTTGAATTTTTATTGCTTTTAAATCAGGAGGAAGTGGCTCAACTTAACCAAGGGCAAAATTTGATTTGTATCTTACTGTAGCCTTGGATTCTTTTCAGTGGGATGCATCTTTTTTTTTTTTTTTCCATAAACTATCATGACTTTTTTTGAAACGCATTTTCCCTAGGGTTTCAGAAAATACTTTTTTTTCCTGAAATTTGTTTACCGGACACCAAAGAAACACCATAGCTAAAGTTAATTTTTTAAGGTGTAAAAGACAATGCAGCCAAACATGGAAAGATACTTAAAACAGTAAAGATTGTCATTCCTCTCTGCAGAAACTGCCATTGATCTTTGCTTTCTGAATTGGCTCAGGTAGATTTCATTCTCAGCAACTGTGGGCTTTGTTGGTGCAATGTATAGCTTCTTTGTTTTTTGCAACAAGGACTAGCTATGTAAACAGACTGTCCTCAAGCTCAAAGAGATCCCCCTTTCCCTGCATCCTGAGTGCTGGGATTAAAGGCATATGCCCCCCTCTCACCGTTTGATGTATAGATTTGTAAACAAATTCTTGAATGGCACTGAGGTGGCTTCCTGTGACTGCCAACCATTCCCTGTAAAACAGTCTTAGGTTTATCTTAGGTTTGGCATACTCCTGAGGCACATGAAGTTCATAGACTCTTTGTTACATGGCACACTCCTGAGGCACAGGAAGGTCACAGACTGGTGAAGACAAGTGGGTTTCTGTAAGTACTCTGAGTAAACTGTCACCCAGATCCTGTGCCAACTGGTTTACTGTGTCGTGTGTGGGATTACCAGTCTCTTACCATCCTCCAGGCTTCAAAGGATCCTCGTGCCTTAATTACAGGAAACTGTGCAGTGTAGGTTAGTTTTAAAGAAGGGTGCCCAGAACATTGAAAGAACAGTTACTGTTACGCTTTTCCCATATCAGTCTTGCCTTAGAGCTGCAGGTTTTCTTAAGACATGGTGACTTGTGGCTTCCCCCAGCCTGGGCTTCTTTGGTGCTGGTATTATATATGTGCTCCACTGTGCCTGGCTCCTCCTCTACTCATGTTTTTTTCCTGTCTTGGGCAGGTTGAAGGCTTTTAAGGCGGCCCTCTTGGATGTGTTCCAAGAAGCTCATGCACAGTCTGTGGGAATGAACCACCTCATAGAATCCATTAATCGGGATAAAGAAGAGCCTTTCACCCCAGAGGAGATCCAGGCTTCACTGAGCAGGATGCAGGATGACAACCAGGTCATGGTGTCTGAGGGCATAGTTTTCCTTATCTGAGCAGGGCTTGTCTGAAGTTGTTCCTGCCAAGTGCTACCCTGTCCCCTGCCTTTGTCTCCATTCTCCAGTAACTTTCAGTGATGGAAGCTGATGATGAGACTCCCAGGACTTGGTGGAACCTTTGAGAATGGCTGCTGCTATGGGCAAGAGCTGTAGGGGAGGGCCAGGACTCTTGACAGAAGGCCTGGCTCAGTCCCCTTCCAGTCCTAAACACAGGAAGTCCATTTCATGACTTGAGTTGTGTTTTGGGGCCCAGCTGTTTTCTGCATTTGTTGCTTGTGTTTTTACCTCCATTCCCCACTCCCAAGCACTTTAGTCTAAGAAAAGCTTTGAGGTCTGTTGGGCCAGAGTGCCTCAGGCAGATCTCAAAGGTGGATTGGAGAAAGCTTTCTTTGCATTTAGACTAATTATATATTGTTGACCAAGACATTGACATTGAGTAAATAGAACTATTTTGTACCTGTGGACTTTATACTCTGCTTTTATAAAAAAAAATGCATTATTTGTGTGTGTGTTTGTGAAGGTTGTGGCTGGGACACACTTGTGGAGGTCAGTGCATATCTTATGAGAGTTGGTTCTACCATGTGGGTTCTAGGGATCCAACACAGACAGGCTTGGCCGCGGATACCCAGGCCCTACAAATACTGTGGTTTCTTTTTTTCATTATAGCTGAATACTATTCTGTTTTATACATATTATAATCTGATATATATATATATACCAGATTTTCATTATCCATTTATCTGTCGGTGGGCAACTGAATTGATTCTGGTTCTTTGCTATAGCGAATAAAGTGTAAATGAACATGGGGGTACAAGTATCTCTGGTAGTGTATGGAGTTCCCTGGCGTATGCCCACGATGGAAAACTGTGGGTCAAGCTGCTGTTGGCACACCTTTAATCACAGCACTCTGAGGAGGCAGAGGCAGGCAGATCTATGAGTTTGAGGCCAGCCTGATCTACAGAGTGAGTTTCAGTTCAGCCAGGGCTACACAGAGAAACCCTGTCTCAAAATAGCAAAAGTCTGGGTCATGGGGTAGTTTTTAATTTTTTGAAACTTCTCCAAACTGATCTCAATGGCTGTATTAATTTGCTAGTACTTTTTATATGCATGTTTCATTTGCATGTTTCATTTCATAGCTCTTGTATTTATGTCAAGTTATCACAAGGTGGCAGCAGCCTGCTGTGATCTCTTTGGGGATTTAATCTATGTCCTGTAGTTTTCCTCAGTAAACTGCCAGCTAAAATTGATACTGTATCATGCAAACTGTGCTAATTGGAAAAGCGGTCACTGAAAGTCCCGGGAAAGTAAAGTCCAGACTCTGGCTTTACTATCTCAGCAAAGGCCTTCCTTAGAGAACTGATAACTAAACAACACTAAAAATGGTGTTTTCTTAACTCGTAGAGGGATCCTCTTCGGTTTTATGAGTCAGGGTTTCTCTGTGTAGCTATGGCTGTTGTAGATTTACTTGTAGACCAGGCTGGCCTTGAACTCACAGAGATCCTCATGCCTCTGCCTCCCAGAGTTCGGGGATCACAGATATGCACCATCATGCCTGCCTGAGGGACCTCTTTTAGGATATTTTTGCAGTTACTTGGCATTAGCCATTTCTTTTCTCTCATACATTACATCTGGACTGCAGTTTCCTCTCCCTTAGAAAAGAGAGGCTTCCCAGGTACATCAACCAAACATGCCATAAACAAGCTGCAGTAGGACCAGACACACCACATTAAGACTGGACAATGCAAAGCAATACGAGTAAAAGGGTCCCACAGGTAGGGAAAAGAGTCAAGGGCACCCCTGCTCCCGCTGTTAGGATTCCAACAAGAACACCAAGCTCCTTAGCCATGATGTATGCGGAGGTCAGACTCCTACAGGCTCCCTCATCTGTGAGTCTTCATGAGTTGTGGTCATTTGACTCTGGGTCATATTCTCCTAGTATGTCCCTTAGCCCTTGGGTTCCTCCGACCCTTCCCCTCCTCTGCATGATTCCCCAAGCTCTGCCAAAAGTTTGGCTGTAGTACTCTGCATCTGCTCCCATCAGTTGCTAGATGAAGTCTCTGGTCTCTGGAATCTACAAGAATAACCTAACCCTAGGAAAGACTCCTGGTAGTGAGGAACATGGAGCCTGAACCTGTCCTCTGTAACCAGGCAAGGCCTCAAGTGGAGGGATTGGGACATCAGTCCCACCACAAAACCTACAGTTTGTCCTGCCTTGCAGTGTCCTGGGAACCAGGCCTAGCAGAGCCGTTTGGTTTTTTAACGTGTTTGTACAGAAGTTGGTGGGGCCAGCACAATTTTCTGTATGTATTGAGTAGCTTTAAAAGAACTTTTAATCAAAAGCACAAAGCATGAGTTTGGGGTGTCACAGACCAGAGCTGTGTCCTGGTGGCAGATGTGGCCTGAGTTGGGCCATTTTTCAGCTATAGAGGATTATCCTTTTTCCTGAAGCTAAAAAGCAGGTCTGTAGAGTTTTGGTTTTGTTTATTCGTTGCTTGAGACCGTGATTCTCTTTGTAACTGGCTACCGTGGCACTTGCTCTGTAAACCAGGCTGGCCTTAGATTTGGAGATCTGCCTGCCTCTGCCTTCTGAGTGCTGGGATTAAAGGTGTGTGCCATCACTGCCTGGCGATTCTGTAGCTTCTTATGACAAGGTTTTATTTTGGTGGGAGGGTGAGGATAAAACTATCCTAAGTTGAGTTTCATCTTAAAAGACTCCCTCCCCCACCCCAACACACACACACGCCGCACACACAGACTTGAACACCATGACCTACTTTGAGTTAGTAGAGCACAGTTTGAAGAGGGTGTGTGCCCTGCAGGAGGGACCCAGACAGTAAGTACAGGCAGTAATGGGAGCATAAAAACTATAGGAATAAGAGACTAGGCTCAAGGAGGAAGGTGGGAGGCAGCTGTAATTCTTTAAAAGAAAAGCCCCAAGTTTTTAGGGCTCTCAAATGGTCTGTTCCAGAAATCTTGAGAGACTGTTTACACCCTGAGGAAACAAGCACAAAGTGGGAGGGCAAAGAACACTCAGTAATAGCGCTGGCTGTCAGCTACACAGCCAAAGAATAAAAGGTAGCCTTTAATCCCAGCACCTGGAGGCAGAGGAGTGCTGATGTCTGAGTTCAAGTCCGGCCTGGTCTACAGAGCATGTTCCAGCACAGCCAAGGCTACACAGAGAAACTCTGCTCAAAAAACCAAAACCAAAACAAAAAAAATCGAAAAAATAAAAAGAACAATTAGGTTGAGAAAATCGGATGTGAAGTGTCTCAACTTGTGACAGGAAAGATGTTGGTAAGCATTAAGGACACGATCTTGTCATTGTCTAGATATCTTGTGGTGCAGGAGCCATAGTACACACTGAGAAGCGCTGTTCAAGGGGCTAGGAAGAGGGCTCGGGGTAAAAAGGTGGCCATGCAAGCCCGATAGCCTGAGCTTGATCGCAAAGGCCATACAGAAAGCCAGATCTGGTGCCTGCCTGTAGTCCAGGTGCTCCCACCGTGAGATGGGAGGTGGAGATGGATTGGAAGCCTGCAGTCTAGCCAGCCCGGAGTATATAGCACGGCAGAAGCATGACTCGTGGGAGACCGCGCCTCAGAGTGGAAGAGTCAACTGGTAAAGGCTGCCCTCCAGTCCATACACATACTATGACATAGGTGCACGCGCACGTGACACACAGTGCTCAGCCTGTCACCAGCTGCCCTTGACATAAAACAGCTTAAATTGTGGGACCTGAGAGATGGCTCATGGTTAAGAGTGCACAGTGGTCTTGCCAAGGGTGTGAGTTCAGTTCCTAGCACCCATGTTGGACTGCTCACAACCTCCTCTGACACAAGCATTCAAGGGGTGCACAGCCACACATTTAAAGATATAAAAATAAAGGGGATGGAGATGGCTCCGTGGTTAAGAGTACCCACTGCTCTTCCAGAGGACCCAGGTTCAATTTCCAGCACCCACAAGGAAGCTCACAGTTGTCTGTAACTCCAGTTCCAGGGGATCTGACACCCTCACACAGGCACATAAAACACCAGTGCACTTAATTTTTTTTTACAAAATTAAAAATAGTAAAAATTGAAAACATTTCTTTAAAACTGAATTGTCTAAATGCTTCATTCAAAAGAAATGTGCTCACATTTAAGTATGCTATCTAAAATAGCTAATGTTTCTGGGACTTAAAAGAGTAAGGGTTTTCTGTCTTGAGAAGTTGGGGCATCATAAGTAGGATTCCTAGACAAATGAGATGTTGATAGGAAAGTGATTTTCTAAGTAGTTACTTAGGGAAAGGTGCCAGGATTGGGTTTCTGCCCCTTACCAGGTTAACTAGAGGGAAAGCCAGTGTTGCTAGTTAATTAGTTGTAAAATGTGGGTGCGTACTGCTTTGCAGGTTATTTATGAGCCAAGTGGGCCAGGGCGCCACTTGTCAGCCTGGCATGGAACTGCTTCCCGGAAGTGGTAGTGACAATGTCCAGGGCCCACTGACAAGGTGACTGATTTGGATGAGTGTTTAAGAGAACACTACTCCAACAACACTCAAATTATTAGGGGCCAGAGCCATAACCCTCGTGCTTGCTTAGCACATACAAGGCCTTAGGTTCAACACCCCTCCCCTCCCCCAATCCCCTTGGATTCATCCCCCTTTTTCTGTCTCTTGGTAGTTACTATTCTGTAGTCAATGTGGGCCTGGCTCAAGCACCTAAGCCCTCACTTGTAATAGGGTCTTCAGCTTTGTCCAGCGGTCTGCAGTTTTCTTGGGGGGCAGGCCATGTTAGCAGCCCTGTGAGGTAGATCAGGGAAACCTGGAGAAGAAAAGCCTAAGACTGCAAACCAGAGAATTGGGTGGCTCATCCCCGCTCAGTTTTCCTGTTGAGTGTTCGGTCTCCACTAGCTAACTGGTGGGTCTGGACTTGTAGATTTTTTTCAGAGTGTATGTATTTATGGTCCCTGCAGGTACATGCACATGTGTATGGGCACATTTACCCATACGTGTGCATATGGCGACCCACGGAGGTCGGCATCAAGTATATTCCTGCTCTCCATATCACGTCATCATTGTTGTCGTCACTATTATTAATTATTGAGACAAGTCCTCTCACGGAACCTGGAGCTGAGTGTTTTCAGCTTGACTGGCTGAACCGTGAGCCTCTAGAGTGTTCCGTCTCTGCCTCCTATTGGGCTGGGGTTATACCCCACTTTCACACAGGTGCTGTGGACCTGACCTCAGGTCCTCACATTCTGCGGCAAGCATTTAATTTACTGAGCCATCTCCACAACTGCTGGGGGAGTTTTTTTGTTTTTCTGGGAAACCTAAAAATATCTACTCTTTCCTAATAAGGTCCATAGGACAGATCAAAGTATGATTCCATTCAAGTTCACCCTAGGAAAACAGTAGGTTTATTGGCTTCCTTACATCAAATGAGGGGTTACTACTGTCCCGTTGGCATTTTCGGTTGGCTTCCTCCCCATCATGAT